AATATATCTGCATATTTCATTTCAGAGAACACGGATGACTTATTAATCTATGTTTTTTTGTTTTTAATGTTCGCGGATAATTTGCCATAAATGTTTGTCTTTTTTTTTTTTTTCCCGATGTTTGTCTTTCTTTTTGATGCTCCTGTACATTTTTCTTTTCATCTATGTGTGAAGTTAAGTTCTGCATTCGTGTTGCACATGCACGTCGGCAGGATTTCCATTGAAAGTCCCCAATGTGCCGGGCAATCAATGCTGGCAGGAGTATACTGTTTTGAAAACCATTATAATGCTCAGGGACGCTGGACCCGATTTCCAGCAGGTGCTGCTCCCCACCAATAGATGGAGCCTTCCTGGGAGTGCTAGCGGTGTCTGCTCTTACCAGCACCCCTAGCACCACCCCGGGTGTTTTAATTAAAAAAAAAAATTGGGGGGGGGGGGAAAGTTAAGGTTGTATGTGGCTTGCGATCATGTTGGAGAACATTCAGTCCACATGTTCCTTCTTTATTTCCCCCTATATATGCTCTGTGTATACATGTGCAAAGTATGTATGTGTGTGTGTTATGTATGTGTGTGTGCGTATGTGCGTGTGTGTGTGTGTGTGTGTGTGTGTGTGTGTGTGTGAGTGTGAGTGTGTGTGTGTAAGTGTGTCCCCCGCATAATATGACATGTTTGTGGTATGATACGGAAACCGCATCATAATTGAGCTCCGAAATAATATATCGGCGCACCTTAAGAATGAAAAATTGTAGCTGTGGCGCAGACGCATCCAGTACTTGGAGGTGGGGAATGACTATGCCGGACTACATGAGCATGCTTACGAACGAGAACTTGTAGGCATGGTGCAGACGGAACCTATACTGTAAGTTGGGGAATGATTATGCCGGACTACACGAGCATCCATGCTGCCACTGCTCTTTGCGGGCAAACTGGAAGACACACGATCAAACAGACACCGCAAGACGGTGAAAAGAATCACAAGAACGCAGAAGGCAAGGAGGCAACGGCAGCAAACTGCAGAAAGGCACAAGGACTGGGGGCCACAAGGGAGGTGGGAGGGCAGACCAAACATAAATGCACAAAACAAGGAAAGTCAAAAGAAAACTACAAGTACAGAAAGATACCCCAAGCATAAGACAACAGGCAGAAACAAAAGACAATGGGTGGAGGTCACGGGCGAGGCGGGAGGCCAGACGTCACTCAAACACGCAAAGCAGGCAAAGCAAAAGCAGTGTATATACACAAGTCCCCAAAAACAGCGAAGACCGAAAAAAAATAAAAAACCGATGATGATAAGATTGTTTCGCCGGCGTTGCACCGACTCATCAGGATGCTGAACCCTCAATAATCTGCGGAGTCGTCGGATTGGATGGTTTGGGTCATGAACCCTTTGACCCTTGTTGAAGGCAGGCTGTCCCCCAAACGGAACACAGCAGCGGGCAGCAACCTTGCAGAGTACCAGGCAACACAATAGAGGCAACACGGCTGCACAACGCCAAAAACAATTGCAAGGAGGGAATGGCACAATATGCAGGACAAGCAGTGCGGCAACCACACTGTGAAGCAAGGCAACACCAACAAGGCAACCACACAACAGGGGACGACATTGCAAGTGGTCGAGTAGCACAACAACCATTCAGTGGAACACAAGGCAGCACCTACAAGGCAAGTGAACTACGAGGTGCACAAGCAAAGGACATGGAAGTCACGACCAGCGGATGAGCAGCTAGGCAGCGGAGCAGCAAAGCGCAAAGGCAAAACCAACAGCATGGCCACACCACCCAGCGAAAATATCAACGTGCAAAGAACCGCATGTGAAGTAAGCAGGACAGGCAGCAAGGCAGCGGCAGAGCGCAGGCGAGGCAGTCCACACATCCAACATGGAGCAAAGCAGCACATGACCAACTCACATCACGGTTGAACCCCACAGACTGTTGGTTCCCACCACCCACTGAGCGAGGGAGTCACTCCAATGAGCATCGGTCATCACCCACAGGCAACACAGACATCCCGAACCGAGCCCTTTCCCTAAGAGTGCACTAGGCACTTCAAACGAGGAACCACCGACTGTTTGGCACTACTGAAGGGTGCTCAGTTGGGCACACAAAAAAAGTACTACGAAAAAAATAAGAGGGAGGACAGAGAACAGAAGAAAGACTGACAGACAAAACTGATTGTGTGTGTGTGTGTGTGTGTGTGTGTGTGTGTGTGTGTGTGTGTGTGTGTGCATCTGTGTGAAGGGTGTGTGTCCAAACGCACACCGAGGTACAAACTGGTGTGTGTGTGTGTGTTTGTGAAGGGTGTGTGGCCAAGGACACACCAATTGTGTGTGAAGGGTGTGTGGCCGAGGTACAAACTGGTGTGTGTGTGTGTGTATGAAGGGTACGCTGCGGAGGCCCGGGTCACCACGCCCTTCGACACCGCGCCGCCCTGGCAGGGGGCCCGAGGGAGGGAGAGGCTGGGGCAGAGCGGGTCCGGAGGGAGGGAGAGGCTGGGGCGGAGCGGGTCCGGAGGGAGGGACAGGCTGGGATGAAGCGGGTCTGGGTGCGCAGGATCGAGGCGGGGGGCGACGG